CCGCGAGAGCCCCCCCCCCCCCCCGCCAGTAAAACTAGTTTTGACTTTATCCAGTTCACAGTTCATTTCAGTTGATTCTTTTTTTTGGTTTCTCCTCCGAAGGGTGCAGCGCCCCCAGGTGAAATCTTGTTTTCATTAGCACATGTTCAGATGGTTATACTTTCTGTCTGAAAATGAAGTCTGTAGGGAGGCCTTTGTTACTTCAAACATGCATTACTTCAGTGATACTCGATGACTCATCACCCATGTGACTACAGAGAAACAAGAATCACCGGCTGTGTTTTTCATAGGTGGGTGACGGGAGAGTGGGGACCTTGTTCTGTTACATGTGGTAAAGGTCTCCAGCAGAGGGTGGTGGTCTGTGTTTACCACCTACAGAATGGCTCCGTCATCAACACCAGAGACCTGTACTGCCAGGGGGGGAAACCTCCGGTCCTGCAGGGCTGCGAGGGACGGCTCTGCCTGACGGTGTGGGAGGCTTCAGAGTGGTCCAAGGTACGGTGACATCAGTCTGGGTTGACGTCATGAGAAAACCATTAGTGTCTCTGATCTCACAAAGGTTTCCGAAGGGCATTAGTACCGATCCTGACAACTCCTAAACCAACTGTTCGTCATGGTTTACCCACTAACACCCTTGTCCACTTAGACCCTGTACAAAAGTATTTGCCTTGAAAAAAACATAAAGTTACTTTTAGATTTTTTTCAGAAACCGTAATCATTTTAATAATGTTTTTTTTTTTCAGTGTTCGTCAGAATGTGGTCAAGGTGTTCGCCAGAGGACCGTCGTTTGTACGAACCCTCAGGGACGGTGTGATCCGATGTCTCAGCCGGCGACGACGGAGCCCTGTGAAGACCACTCCAAGTGTTACGAATGGAAGACCGGAGAGTGGTCCAATGTATGGCTGCCTCTTGACCTCTTGACCTCTTGCTATACCCACTTCAGAGACAATGTGATTAGTGAAGCAATAAAAATTAAAAATTAAAAAAAATTAAAATAAAATAAAAAAAAGAATGGAATAAATTTAGTATGTCCACCCATCCATCCATCCATCCATCCATCCATCTATATATCCATCCATCCATCTATATATCCGTCCATTCATCGACATATCATCCATCCTTCCCTCCACCCTTTCATCTACATAATATTTTTCACATACTAATGTCACTGTTTGAAATTCATCTCCTGGTGGACAAATGAGGCCAGAGCTGTGTGTCGTTGAAGAAAGCTAAAATCAGGACGTTCCTAATGAGGTCAAGAACAACGAGGACCAAACCGCAGCCTTTTCATTTTGTCGTGGGTATTTGGCCTGAAGCTGCTAACAGAAAAACAAAACCTCTCAAATTTAATGCACATTGTATTTCAAAAAGCATTAAAGGCTGGAGAGAGCATGGATACAATTATGGGATGTCTTTGATCTGGAGTCATTTACATCAGTCAGCGTCCTCCCTGTGTCTCTGACTGTTTAAATGATTCCTGTCCCTGCAGACGTAGCCAAAATCCATATTTCTACAAAGAGAGGTGAGTTCAGCATAGCTGTCAAACAGGCTGGACACTGAATCGCTTTGAGATTTTACAAGTGGAAGTTAAAATTACATAAACTTTTAATGTGTCTGGTCTGTTTCATGAAAAACTGGCACGAAAAAAAAACTGGTCTGGTTGCACCATTAAGAACAAAGGACTCAGGACTGGTGAGATAGGACGGAGACGTAAAGGAGACGGATTCTGTTTCTCCACGATGTGAACACAAATCACATGTAGAGATATTTAGGTCAGATTGAATAACAGACAGCCTTAGAAATTGACTGCAGCCGACAGAAAGCAGGGATACATCAGGTGCAGGAGGACTTCCTGTGGAGGTGAAGAAGGTGAACCTGAACATGTCAGGCTAAAAAAAACAACATTATTATTCGATGGCAGCCAGTGGAAACAGATGTGCAGAACTTTATTTGGTGGTTGGTAAAATACTGTTGTTACTCTAAACCAGAGGTGTCAAACTCATGTTAGTTCAAGGGCATAATTACCTATAAATAAACAATAAGTCCACATTTCCTGCAAATAAGTACAAATATATTGGAAATATTGATATTTAATGAAATATAATTTATTTGACCAAACAACACAAACATGAAGTGTTTGTGCATTTTTATATCAATCAGGCCAGATTGAACCCCCCAGCGGGCCTGTTTTGGTCCACGGGCCATGTCTTTGATGCCCCTGCTCTAGAGATTTTTTTTAACCCTGCCATTCATTGATTCCAATATTCAAATCTTAAAAGGAATTAGAGAGATGCTGTCGCCCCCTAGTGGTGCTTAAATCAGATCAATCAACAGTAGGACTGTAGGGTATATTTCAGCTTGTTTTGACCCCCCCCCCCACTGTAAAAGTGACGTATTTTTTCAGCTTGTTTTGACCCCCCCCCCACCCCCCACTGTAAAAGTGACGTATTGTATTGGTCCCTGTAGTGTTCGTCATCCTGTGGGAAGGGTCTGCAGTCACGGGTGGTCCAGTGTATGCACAAAATAACAGGTCGTCACGGTACGGACTGCGCCGTGACACTAAGACCGCCGACCTACCGCCCCTGTCACCATGGTGCCTGCAACGAAAAAGTCAATGTGAACACCATCACCTCCCCCAGGCTCGGTGAGTAACTACACCCTGGTTCAAGTCCCTGACTTAAATGGATTTAAAGATTTACTTTATTTTCTGGTCATTTTAATGTTGAGTATGTGGAGGTCTAACCTACGAATTTGTAGTGTAGTTTGATATTGAAATTTACCGATTTTGTGCAAACCCTTAATTTCCAATTCCGATATCAACTGATACTGATATATGCTGCAGTTTGACCCCAAAACTGAGGTTAATGTCTCAGGACCCTACAAATAGTTCCAACATATTTAGCGAAACCCAGGCATTGCGTTATCGGGTTTTCATTATCGGAGAAAAAAATAATTTTACTAATATTGTGCTGATAATATTGGTTGGTGGAAATTATCAGATATCCTTCATTTTTAGGTCACATTTTCTGAACAAAACCCGGGCATTGCATTATCAGTTTTTTACCGATGTTACATAATTATGCTAATATCAGTCTGATAATATGGGTTGGCTGATAGATTTTATTGTCATCTAGTCACCTGCCAGATGTTGGTGTTCGTGTACGTAGTTTTAATTCCTGATACGATTACAGTGTTATAAGGTGATTTGTTTGTGATACTTGTTGCTGACAAATGACATGTCATGTGTCCTTGGTACTATTAAAGATCACAGTAATACTGAGAAAAACAACAAGGTATTCGATGTTTAAATACTGTGATCCATGAAACAGGAGCACCGTCTGTTTGAGGAATAATTACACACACACTGCGATCTGTTCAGTCACCTGTTGGCTTCATGGGTCAGCACTCACCGATTCACTGACGGTTTTCCTCTCCAGCTGCTCTGACCTACAAATGCTTGGGGGACCAGTGGACGGTGTACTGTCGAGTGATCCGGGAGAAGAACCTGTGTCAGGACATGAGGTGGTACCAGCGCTGCTGTGAGACCTGTAGGGACTTTTATGCCAAGAAAATCCAGCACAAGAGCTAATGACCAAACACCGTTTGACTTCCCTCCAAGTAGCGCTCCATTTTGTAAATGTTTTTTTTTAATATTGTGAAATATGAAAACAATTATCTATTATTGATGGAACTTTTTTGTATTTAAAAAAAAAAGATAAATGCCAAGCACACGTGTGTGTATTTTCGAAAACGGGCTCATGAGCTTCTAGTTTTAATGAAGACTTGAAAAATATCCAATTTCTGTTGCTGTAAACCAAAACCAAAAAGACAGGGAAGCTTCTGGAAGACAATCCAGAAGCTTCGTGTTGCACAGAGAGATCGTGGGAAAAAAAGTGCTTGAACTTTCTCCGTCTGTTTCAAAGTCTGGTCCACTTAACGTACGTTAATTGATACGTCCGTACTCTCCCATGCCTGCTTCACCTTTAACATGGTTCTTGAGCAATATGTCCACTAGGGGCAGTGCTGAGTTCTGGGTTCATTTCCGGACTGATGTCAGTTTCTCAGATGACGGCAAACACGGTCACATTAGAGGTGACGATGTTCCTCCTCAGAAGGAGGGTCACAGAGACAGGGCAGGAGACAGTGGTGGTCCATGTGGACATTAGGGAGCAGGAGACAGTGGTGGTCCATGTGGACATTAGACACATTCGTTGTTCTCGTTGTCTTCTTCTTCCTGTTGCTTTTGTGGTTGCGCCTAAGTTGCACTGCTCAACACTGCCCCCAAGATTTTACAGTGGTACTGCTCTGTTTTATGCGCTCAGGTAGGCATTCGCAAGCTAACGCTAAAGAGCGCAGAAGGCGTACAAAAGACTGCATTCGTACCTTAGCAACAACTTGGCTCTAGGGTACTCTCCGCCCTCTTCACTCCTGTACTATATTTTTTAACAATTTTAAATAATGAGCGCCTTTTATTTCTTTTTTTAAACATAGGTAAGATTATCATCCACATACATTGGATATATTGTATAATAATATATGTCATAAGCGAACGTGTTAATCAGGAGCCGTGGAACTGTACTGTAGCGTTACAGTGAACGAACCCAGCTGGTGATCGGAGACCCACTGATGGGCCGCTCAGTTTGACGGCCGCACACAGCCCATGTAGCAGAACATTTTCACAACAATTCCGGCTCTGCGTGCGCGGAGGTTAGAGCGCTCGGAGACGGGTGTATCGCATACCAGCTCACCTGGTAAAATCATGTGGAAAATAAAGGCCTCGGAACACAGGGTTGTTTCCAGTGTTTGAGAATTAGTGACATCGTGACATTTGGATCCAAATGTCAAGTTTGCTCTTATTTTGAAACGGTTGTGACGCAGTTTGCTCTTATTTTGAAACGGTTGTGTGCCATCTTGACGTGATTTAGTAAAAATCAGACACTTTCTGACGTTAGAACATCTGTCTTAGAACGTTTTTGTCTGCAGCTGTTCTTCGAGTCCTCCTCATGTTCCAACCGTGACCTTTTTAATGCTGATTTCAGAAACTGTTTTTCTTTTGAATCAAACTGACACTGAGTCAGGAGAACTGGCAGCGATCGACTCTCAGTGGCCGGGCATCGAACTCTTCATCTGTCTGTGTACGTGTGTGTGTTTGTTTGCGTGCATGTGTGTATGTGCGTGTGTGTGTAAAACAAAAGCTTTCCATCTAGTTCTGGTGGTGTATGGTGCTATCTTTTGACCTGTTTCACTGTTGTGGAATTCATCTTTTGTCGACGATGCTCTCTTCATCTTGAACCATTTTGACCTGATTTTCTATGTCGTAGGATTATTTAACAACATTGCTGTTTTTTTTATGAGTCTTTTTGTTTTGATGCTATAGTGAAAACATGCAAATTTGTCCTGTACTGTACTTTTGAAGTCATAAATTGTTTTCCTCCTAAACTTCCACTACATGTATTTTTATGGTGCTAATTTTAAAGGTGACAAAATAGTCTGTGTTCATACAGGGATTTAACCGTTGGTCTGTCGCCGTCCGTCGTCTGTGTCAGTTACTCTTCAGTTTATTCACAGCAGAAGTCTGAATTATTGGATCCAGTTTAAAGTCTACTGTAAACTGATATTTGTTACACAGTCAATAATGTGATGACATAAAAACAGAAAGACACAAACCTGAACGGCCCACTGTTGACTTCTGTCCACACAACATCAGAGCAGAACACAGGCAGCAGAACACAGGCTGCTCTCCTCCTCCTCCTCTTCCTCCTCCTCCACCTCCTCCTCCTCCTGAAAATATGATTTAATCTTTGTGGTTTGGACTGTTGAAGGAAAACTCCTTGGTATTCACCCAGTGGGAGTCAAACGTGATCTTCCTGCTGTAAGGCAAGGGCACTTATCTCTCCACCACCGTGTGGCCCAATGTTTATTGAGCCACAGCGGTATTCGACACACTTTTACCTCCATCTGGTGAACGTCCAACAAAGACCGTCTTTTAGTCTTTATCTGTCCCAGCGTGTCCTCGCCTGCTCTGTTATTAGCTGTGTCCCACTTCAAGGTCTGGACGTTAACGAGAGGACGGAGGCAGCTGTAGACCTTTATTAAAAAAAACACAGAAAAAGGGCATTGTTGAAAAGCTGAGGCATCACAAATATGTCAAGTTGTTTTGGAAGTGCTGATGTCATAAAAGATGATGGGTCTTCTGACCCACTTTAAAATGTTAGTACCGGTTCTTCTCAGACCGAGGTTTGGTTTTTACTGTAGCCATTATTCTTTACATCTGTGAAAAAATCAGATTAAAATTTTGAGGCATTTTAACACATGGCCAGAATGACACACACCGTGTAACCAATCATTTCACCACCCACCAACTTCTCATTAATGGACTTGTAATTTTCACACACTGCCAGAAAGAGTTTTCATTTCACTGAAGTACCTCATGTTTAAAATCCCAACCTGTGGTCAGTGGCCCCAGACTGTGTCAGAACAGCTTGATCCCATCATTTGGATTAGTCAGAGAGAAACACTGACCTCTACCTGCTGATATTGGTACTGTCTGTTCCAGTGATATACAACAACGTGTTTTTATACGGATATCCGATATTTAGTTTTTGCCGATATCTGATATGCCGATTAGGATGTAGTGCGTAATATCCGATTCTGATATCAACCGTTACCGATATATGTAGCTGTTTGGGTTAAAGGCAGAGGACATATTTCATTGTGAAATTGGTGTGCTGTGTCACAATGACAATACATCACTTTCACTTTCATTTCAAAACAATTTTTAGGTCAAATCACCTGGGCGAATCCCAGGCATTGCGTTATCGGGAAAAAAAATAACGATTCTTACCGACATTGCCTAATTATCCTAATATTGGCCAGTAATATCGGTTGGCCGATATTATCGGACATCCGTAGTTTTTTGTCATATTTAGTAACATTGAGATGGGACTTCAATCGATAAGGTGAAGGAGAAAGGTGGAGAACGGGTTAAAGCTGGAACCAAACCTGGTCCAGGATCAGTTCAGTGTCCACCACTGGTTCAAGTGTGATGAAGATTTTCTCTGGACACCAGTGAAGATGAAGTGAGACAGTACACATCCCAGGTAGTACAGTACTTTGTAACAGAACTGCAGCGTGTGCAGTTTTCATGAGCAGGAGGTGTGGAGAGACGGAACACATGAAGTATGACGAGGCCTCCACACAGGAAGTGAGGCGACTGCTGAGACAGTTGTGTTATAATGAAGTGAATAAATCATTATTTTGTTTGTTGTTGCAGAACTTCTTTCCGCTGTGTTCTCCAAAAAAGCTGCTCCGGGGCAATCAATCATTCTTCCCCCCAAATAGAGTAGGAGGGAAGGAGTCATTTAGCAGCGTCACATGATCCACTCGCCCCCTCTCCAGATGGCACCTCACGATCTCTGTGTGTTTCATATCAGCAGTTTCTGATATGGACCACATGGGCAGCTGCCCAGGACGCAGTCCTGTCATTTGGCCTCAACAATAAAAAAAGGTTTATTTTCTCCTCCATTTGTTCATCAGAGAATTCCTTCTGTGCAGAATTCTGGAGGATGACCTTTGACACCAGGTCACTACCTGCTCCTGTGTCCGGTCTACAGACTGAGATTCCTTTAAATTCCAGTTTGTTTTTATTGTTTAAAAACAGCTTCAAAATGCTAGTGTCTGTCCTGGAACTTTTTGACCTACCCTTGTGCTTACACCAAGCAACACTAAACAGAGGAAGAAGTGCAGTTGGATTTTTTTGGAAGTTATAGTTCTCAAAATGAAGAACCAGAACGCTAGCAAACGCAGCAGATCAAAAGACGAATATTATTTTTTAATGGGTTAATGTAAATCAATGAGTTAATATGAGTTAATGGAAGTCAATGGGAGTTAATAGGAGTTAATTTGAGTTAATGGCTGTCAGTGGGAGTTAATGGGCATTATTGGGAGTTAATTATTGTTATGCCATCTGGGGTCCACTTCTAGTAGCATAACCAATCCAGGTTCACAATCTGTATTCTGCAGTCCTTCCTCAGCCCTTGAGCTCATTAAACTCTCATGATGTTTCATCAGAATTGAAACTAAAAAATAATGGGTTGCTACCAAGTCTCTGAGCCATAAACAAACCCCAGGCTGTCCGTCATATCCAGACCCACATTCTGCGTCCAACTGTGTGTCCTCAAGCTCTGGTGAAAACAATAGGAAGGTCACTCAGCGCCACCTCTTTCCCACATCCGACGTACGTCGGAGATCAGTCGACCGGAGAAGCATCGTCATCACAACGTGGTCTGTGAACTCCGCACCTCAGCTGAGCTGTGGCCGTTTCACTTCCAAACAGCTGATCAACCACATTTATATGCCTGTAATCCCCCCCCCACCAACAGCAGCCCCCATCCCCGCTCTGTGGTACATCAGCACTTTGCCTCCCAGTGGTAAATCAGCACTTTCCTGTGTGGATGTTATAAACTGGTCTGTTATTGCGATGTTAGCAGCTCCAGCCTCTGCAGCGTGACCTTCAACAGAAATAAGTCATAGCAGCGCTGCCGACGTAGAAAGGTGTGTGTGTGTGTGTGTGTGTGTATCTACGGCAACAGCAGTTAACGTCTTCTCTGGACGATTTCTAGACGATTCATTAAAGTGTTTGGAGAGCGACGGTAATAAAGGACCACATCTGGAATCTGGGTCTGTGGCCGGGGTCTTCAACCTCTGGGTACTGAGCCACTTGTGGTACTTTTGCCTCTTTGCCAGATTATATTTGATGTTTGTGAATTGAGCAAATTTACCGACTGAGTAGACTAGAAATTTGAACCAAAATTCTAGTTTCAATAAATTCTACTCTAAATTTTCTGCTTGCTTGCTAACAGCAAAAAAGGTCATTTTTAGGTGAATCAAGTAAAGTTGACTTCAGGGTTATTGTTGGTGATAAATACAGAACATTCTTTTTTTTTTACCGAGATCGGATCTTCAATTTCTTTCCTACCACTCTTTGCTTTCATGGATACAAAAAATTTTAGAAAAAAAGTTTAAAAATGTTAACGCTATAAAAAATCTATCTAAAACAAAATCAAACTTTTAACCTACGGGCAGAATTTCGCACAAAATGTAATAATTAATATCCATCGGTGAATCAGGACAGTCATATTCAGACATATCCCAGATGGTACACACGCATGGCACCTCAGATTTGGCCACGTGTATATCACTCTAACACACACACCGATTGCTGCCTCCGTGTGGTTTGTGAAGCTGCTGTCCTGTTCTTCACAGCCTGTGTGATCATCTCATCATCCTGGGGATCGTCGTCTCATCCACAGTCTGCTCACGACCCTTCTCCATCTTTGTCCGTCAGCTTCACCGTCAGCATGTTAAACATCCTCATCAACCGCAGCCGTCTTTACAGCCATCTGCCGTCGGGCGGAGACGACCGCCGTGTCCTGAAGTAACCCGTGGTCTGTTGACCCTCGGCTGAAATCGTCTTTTACTGCCTGATCAAGTGCGAGGTTCCTCCTCTTTGACTCCTCGTTCTCCTCCTTCTCATCGCTTCCATCTGACAAATGTTGAAAAATCAATTCAACTCACCCACGTTCTGACCCCGTGAGAGGTCGCAGTCGTTCACTTTCTCCGTGTCATCAGGGGTCTCCTGTCGTTCACCTCACTTGTTCTCTCCTTCAGAACGTTCCTTCTGTTCTTGCAGCACTTCACGGCCCTTTGTTTTGACACGATGTCGGCATGTTTTCAACCAAATAGATTTTTTTTTACACGTACAACATACAGAGGGTGAGGTGATCTCACTAATACAGTAATCATCCAGAGTGTGGCAGCGTCGTCGGTGTGAACGGCAGCGTCACCGCTTCTTTGTATCGGTGGCCCTGAAATAGACTGGTTACTGAACCTTCACCGCGGCCTGGAGGCAACAGATGGCCGACATGTCTGCTCACAGCAGCAGCAGCAGCAGCAGCAGCAGCAGCGCAGTGGTAATAGTGGGAGACTGACAGAAGGTTAAACATTTAATTATTGATTTCTTTTCCATCTCTCTCTCTCTCTCTCTCTCTCCCTCACTCTCTCTCTCTCTCTCTCTCATACTCACCCCCTCTCTGTCTTTAGTGTTCAGTCAGATTCAACAGTCAGATGTCTGTTGATAAAACGTCTGTCAAACTTCCATTGTTGAACGTTATGACAAATGCCACGCCTTTCAATCCAGAGATGTGAGAGACAGGGACTTAGTTATAGAGGGGGGACCGAGGGGGTCGTGTGTGTGTGTGTGAGAGAGAGAGAGATAAGCTGTATGTCAAACTCAAGGCCCATCACATCAATCTATGTGTCCCACCAGGGGTGTCCACACTTTGGAGCTAAGACCAGACTGAACTGATCTGCCTACATTGAAAACATTTTATATGTATTTTGCAAATACAAAGACAACATAGTCTATAGACTTTACTGTATATTAGGGGTGTCAAACATATGGCCCACGGGCCAAAACTGGCCTGCTAATAATAATAATAATAATAATAATACATTTTAAAAAATACACAAACGCTTAAGGTTCAGAAAATGTTTTGTAAAATTATATTTCACTAAATATGTAGAATTATCTAATGTACTTTTTTGCATGAAAACAAAGGGGTAAAAGACGGACTATGGTTGTACTGGTCCGGCCCGCTTGACATCTAATTAGTTTGTATTTGGCCCATGAACCAACATGCGTTTGACATATATGGTCACTACGGCACACTGTAGAGTTATATTTATGCATATATTTTAGTTTTATTTATTATTATTTTATTTGCTCATGATTTACCAGCACTCCCTTTGCAATCCACTGGTAGATCCTGTTCTACTTATCGAACATCGATTTAGGATAAATGTTGATCGTTAAGAGTTTGTATGGTTTTTGGAGGGAAAAATTCAGCGATCAAATTCTGTGCAGCGTGAGTAATAGTGCAAGATTGTTCTTTCCTAAATTCCAGATTCCAGATACATTTGCGACAGTTCAACCAATGTTAGCCCAAAACTAAGACTGGGTTTTGAAATTCTGCCCAGTGGTGTGATCGACTTTGACGCCCCCTGCTGTAGGGTGTCAGGACGTGGTCCCAGAGGAACCACATACTGGGGGCAGCCTGTTACAGATTTAAAAATAAAAAGCCACATATGTGGGGGTGTTTTGAGTGGGGGGGGGGGGGGGGGGGGGGGGGGGGCCGCCACAGCACCACACATTTGAGATGAGTTCATGTGTGTTGAATGAATCAAGGAATGGAACCAGCAGCTTTTACTCAATCACCACCATTTTACTTCCTACTCCAACGATCAGTAAATGTCTATATAAATGTCTGCCTGTCCGTCAACACCACCTGTGGTTGGAGACCACTGGATGAAACCCACAGTTCAAATGTCACGGTGGTCATGGAGGAGTAGCAGGTGCTGTACAGTAGGTCTAATGTGGAGTTACGTCATTCCTGATAGAAACAAAGTATCACATCAAACTACAACATTCACCAGGCTCTGACCAGAAGTGGGATTTTTCACCTTCAAAATAAAAGGCTGATTCTAAAGGTTGTCATCGAGAAGGATAGAGGGAGGGAAACTGATGGTGTACTTTATGGGTTCTGCGCGTTCTCTACATCTGTGATTGTGATTTTCTCCACATTCTCTGATTTCTGTCCATAACCAGTGTGCAGGATTAGGTTGATAGTTCATTCGTGATTAGCTGTGGGGCTGATGGATCAGTAGATCATAACTCCAGCTCCAGCTGGACCAATACCCCGAAACAGATTAAACAAACAAAAACCAAAAATAATAATAATGAAATTGATTACAATTCTTTAATACAAAAATATTATTATTTGTTTTATTTATTTCTTGTGGTCATTTAAATTGCCTTGACACAAGGGGGCGACGTCTCCGATGTCTCGTTCCTTTTCGTAGCTCTTATTTTGAAAAGCCACAGCGGTTGTAGTCGCTGTGCATCACGGCCACAGTGACACCGCTCAGCTCCAGCCTCAGCATGCAGCCGTTATTCCCGGACTGCTGTGATTGGCGTCCAGCGCGGGGACAATGGAGGCGACGGCGGCATGGAAACACGGCTCCGCTCCGCTCTTCATCCTCCGGACGTGTGTGCGGAGCAGCCTCTGCGCGTTCATGTAAAGATGCAGCGCGCGTGTGCATCAGTGCTGCTGCTGCTGCCGCTTGAATCGGATTGCATGTTGAACTTGCCCTGTGCGTGTGAGCGTGCGTGTGATGCTGCGGATTCAGATGTCGTTGAAGGATGCTGCTGAGACGGAGCTGCGCTGGAAGGATGCTGAACTCTCAGAGTGAGTGGAGCTTTATTAATTAAACA